TAATAGGCCGCTATTATGAAAAAGGTCTATAATTCATGTTTAAAAAAATGAATCATACTATAAAATCCTAATGTTCTGCTTCATTCGTCTTAAGCCCTTGCATTTGGCCATGCTCCTTTATCTTTCTCAGACATCATATTTGGACTGAAGTATGTCTACTTACTTCGCATTATTACTGGGCTGCCTGTGGCACAACCAATTATAAATTGGGCTTGGTTTTTCCTGGCACAAATCGCACTATGGCGTGTTCAACGCGTGCGCAAGATATAAGTGTACGCGTAGAATGCGTAGAATAGATCAGCAGACTTCAGCAGAGTACATTCCGAGGAGCTCGAAGGGACTCAAAGCTATTAGCAATCCGGTGGAAGCATACAAAACAGACATACGAATGTAAACGCTGTTGATGGTTAGCCCACAGTCTGAAAGATGGCAACAAGAGTACATTTTGGAAGCGGTATAGTTCATGAACTATACTATGCGACAGACCCATTTACAAGCGAACTTTTCCGAGTGTGTCTTTATCAGGAAACCTTGTACAGTAAGTGAGCTACCTACTGAGTTAGAAGCGCTAAAAGAATCCCTCGAATTAACTGTTAAACTCAAACTATTCCTTACGTAAACATTACGAGCAACTGGATCAGTGAAATTCAACAGTGTTTTTGATCAACACAACAGCCTTATGGAAAAATTCAGTACCTCAAAAGCCAGCTTTTAGGTAACAATATCCTTGCTTTTACATTTAGTTTTTGTATTGATTTCATTGATTTTATCTTTCAAGTTGTTTTTATTATCATTTATTCAATTATTGAAATCGCGTATTTAGTGATCGGACTTCTAATGCCGTATGTAGATATTTATACAGAAGCTGTTGTTATTTCAATATATGTAAAACAAATCAATTGACCGGAAATGTTTGCAACGGTTCCGAGGTAACAGCAATGGTGAAAGAAGATATAAGATCTTGCTATGCAAAGTATGTTTTCTTCCTAGGAAACATAAACAACGTGATCGTGAGCCTAGTCCTTTTGGGCCTTTTTACTGACCGAAATGACGTATTTTCCTACCCTTTCATATACTTCAGCCAGTGAAATCTCTATTTTGTTGAATACCTGAAGCCTAAAAAAGGTACCCCTTTCGCGCGGAGCCTCCGCTCCATATAGCTCATTATGTGGAGTACCCCCCGGGAAAAAAAGCGCCATCAGGAGCCCATTCCTGGCGCCATATATGACCTCCGGAATGAACACTCTTATCTTATGCACACGCTAGCCTGTGTACAGACGTCCCTTCTGTGATAGTTCAAAAAATTGAATGAGTTCATTTTCATCCAGTCGGTTCGCAGTCTATAAAAATACTACTGATAAACTAAAAAAAAACTTTTCTTCGCTTAAAAACTCTGTCCATGTCGAACGAGTTTGGTTCAGTTTAGACTATTTAACTCTCTGCGCCGCTCTAACTATAGCTCAATGGGTGATTGCACGCGATTAAAGAATATTTCAGATGCGCTGAAGCTTGATCCCCTACGAACGGACGATTTTTTTTATTGTCTTCCTCAAATATAAAGACAAGCTGTCGACAAAACAAAAAAAGTTCAGATAAACTAGAGATACCGTTTGGCACGAAATATTTGCGGGTTTTAATTCTTACGATTTTCGCGTTTTTTCCAGCGATCCGCTAAAATAATTCCCCCCCCCCCCTCCCCCCCCCCCCGCCAAATTAACGAAAACATTTTTCCTGCAAAACTTTACTCCAGAGTATTAAATATATTCTGACTAAAATTTACTACACAAATATACAGCACTAAGAAATCGTGTCTGTTCAATTACAACTCGCCTCTTCAATTCAGAAACAAAACGGTATACAATGAATTGATTTTACATAATGTACGCATACCGTAGTACTGTTTGAAAATCTGTATTTTTATTACACCCTGATTGCACGTACTTAACAAAAACGAAAATATTATCAATGCTGGGTACTGGGTACTTTTTGAAAATTAATTCTCAGCAAGAAAAACCGATGTGTCCTAGTGCCGTGAGTGTCGTACGGCCGTACAGCCGTTCACAGTTTTAGGAAAAAACAGGGTCTACTTCACAGCTTCAATCCTCACAGTACAATGGCTCGCTCACACATTACCGGAAATCGTGACTTTCTTGAATCTATAAGCTTTAGTTTTTAATCCGATCTGTGAGCAAGTTCTCTTTCGCTCAGTTATGTTGTTAATTAAGTGAATATTTCGAATGTTTAACCCCGCAATCAGTAAAATCTGACAGACGAGGGAAACTATTACTAGGAACAAAGTTTAAAAGGAGTAAAATCACGCCATCTCCCAATCACGCTACACCACTCTTGCTTCATAACACCTAGTCGCAAAAATTAGTTTAAGCGAAACAGAAAAAATGCCCAATCCGCAAAAATAAACAGCCGCAAAAATTTCGTGCCACACGGTACACCCACCTAGCTTGCTTTGTATCAACCATCAATTATCATTTTCATTAATTTATTAAAAGTTTCAATTGAAACAGTTTAATGAGACCCGTGGGTTGGGGTGGCGTCCGGCATGGGAATGGGTTTAGCAGGGTGACTTCTTCCTTTCATACGCTGTCAGCTGTCTGTTGTAGTAAAATTCTCGTTTTCATACAATACATAATTGCTATCTAGTCTAGGTTTTATGGCAGCCCAGTATACACCCTCTGGTGTCTAGTTATTGTAACTGTAAATGAGTGAAAATCCATTAATTTGACAAGATTCTCAGTACATAATTACTATAACATACCTTTCAAATGATATTTGCATCCCTTCAGCATAACATTCAATGACATCCATTGTCACGTCGCAATACAGTTTTTCTATCCTCTCGTTGTCTTTCTCATTAAAACTCTTCCATTCACCCGCATCCCTATATTGCCAATGGTAAGGCAAAAAGCAGTGATGGCCTGTACACTTAGAACCATTCTTACATTTGCTAAGAATAAACTCTGCGCAAATGGTTGCATCTGGCCTGTTTACGAGAATGTGTCTTGTCAGAAAGCCTTGAGTAAAAAAGAGAGAGAAATGGTCGCTCGTTCAGTAATGATTAAAATTTGTTCCACTGACTGATTGAGGCATTATCATGCAGTATTTATATATATGATAACAATTTTTATTTGTATTTATATTCATTCATTTTCATTTTTTTATTTTTTGTCAGACTGGTTTTCCGTCTTACCGTTCTCGATCAAAACGGTCACGGAAAATCTTACTTTCTAAACCTTCGGCCAGGGTAGAAATTTTTCAACACCCGTCTTAGCTCTCCGTCTTCCATCGGCAGCTTCCCTCTTTTAAACACTTTCATTGTGTTATATCTAAAGCTAAATTTTCCCTTTCCGCTAAAATCATGATGTTCAAGCTTACTGTTTTGAGTAAAAGTAAAGCTTCTTGTACCCCGGGTTTCGAAAATCGCAGCATTAAACTACCTAACTGTGGACCTTGTAGACTACTACGCTTTTAGCATTATACGTTGGAACCACGGAAAATGCTTGTTAAATCGAAAATTAGAGATATCGTAGGGATGACAGAATTTTACATTACTTACCTGTAGTTTTTTCTTTTGAACACGCGGATTTCTCGCGCTGATCACAAACAAGAATAATTTTCTTTACCAGGTCTGATTTATGGTGTCCTAGCTGAAAACGTTCAAGAATTGCTTGGGTGTGTTCAGTGTTCATGGCTTCTTCATGAAGTAAGTTACAGCCATATTCCCTTCTAAAACACTTTTTCAAATGTTCTCTACACATGTGTATTTTAGAACACGACTCACCAAGATCACACCAACCATTGTTGTACTCTACACAGATTTGGGGAGTAGATAAAAGCACGAGCTTCCTAAGTTGCTCATCTGTTAATTTATCAAGCCTAATCTTCGACAACAGAGCTCTTTCTCTGTCATCTTGGAAGTGATGATTCCGCGGGCACGTTGCTCCGTTGCTACAGGAATCGGTTATGTACTCTCTACAGACGTGCAAGTAGGAACAGTTCCTTCTATTGCACTCCCCATAATAAGAGTTATTGTAACTGAGACATAAACGTGCTTTGGTAGAGTAAGCGTCCACTTGGGTTATCTTTCCGTGATCGTCTTCTGTAGTGAGAAAACTCCCATTCTTGCTTCGAAACCAAGCTTCTACATCCTTAAATTCAGACGGGAACAAATCTGTTCGTTTGGAAATCACCGAAAGAGAAGCAGAGCAATCGTACTCGGTGCAAAGGTATTCGAAGACTTTAACCTCAGCCGGCTGAGCAGTGGCACTTGCAGCCACGCCCACTTTCGATGACATATGCTGATCTTTCTTGCTCACTTTGGTAGGCTCCACAACTTTCCTTTGAAACGGAGATTTTGGAGTTTCGTGTCTGTATGGTGCGGACGCTTCCAGCGATGGTGTGTCAGTACCTTGTATGACTCCCATCGCTTCATAAGATGATTTTTTACCTACGTTGCAAACACAGGGTAAAAAGTCATGAGCTTTGTGAAGAACACGCTGCTCCTTCGGAACCAAAATATTGCACCGAACAAAAACTGTTGACATCGACTGATGACGCACCAGATCATACTGTTGAAGAATCTTCATGTTGTGAGAATCCGTGAGGTTGTGTGACAAAGAACAAGAACACGCTGAACCTCGGACAGCTTGAGAACAAAGATGAAGATATAAGCATGAATCCAACGTACATATACCTCTTGTGTACAGCTTGCAAACCTGTGGCAGGCTCCAGAAAACAAAACGTCTTATAGTCTCGTTCGGATGTTTGGCCAGTCCCAATTCGTTTGTCTTCTTGTGGTTTTCTTCGTCAAGAAAATTGTGCGAACGGTTGCATTTGCCATCGCAGTTTTCTTCGATGAATCCTTTACAAATATGCCAGAACTTACACTTCCCATGAGCACTTCGACAAGAACCTTTGTCGTGATATTGTCGACATATTTTTCTTCCTAAATCAATTCGCACACCTGCTATCTCGCCATTGAAATCTTTCACGACGACTAAACGCTTATCAGCCTGACTCACCAGCCAGGTTTTCGCTTCAAACTCTGATTTCCTACTTCCCAAGGGCGAGGACTGCTTTAAAAGAACAGATAATTGTACAAAACCGCCACTACCGCAGATATAATTGAACACTTTCTCTGCCAAAACATCATCCGCCATCTTGTCTGTTACGAAGAAAAATGCAGACTGCAGACTGACTGCGGACTATTTTTTTTAGGGTTAGAAAACAATGGAACTATTATTGTCACCTACTCATTTGCATGTTGAAAACAATAGTCCGCAGTCTGCGTTTTACACTGACCGGAAAATTCCTAGAAAGTGAAATATTATTCCGAGAAAAAATAGCACTGTGTCCCGAGGGGATTATATGGCGAAAGAAACTTGTAGGAGACAACAGGGGTCTTTTTTGCATGAGCATGCGCGACCGCTGAACAAGCGATGTGCATGGAGGCTCACCACAGGGTTTGCCTTCATCAAAATGGCGCGTCTCAAAGCTATCATAGCGATTATTTTGCTCGTTGGTCTTGGCGAATGTGCTCGTGATTTAACAAAATGTGTAGTTTGCAAAAAAAAACCTCTAACATGGTCTTAACAAAAGCGAAGTAGACCGGCTTGAACACACACGAGCTACTATCAAATTTCATCTCCCCACTTGACCTGGATAACAGCGCGCGTATATGTAGTGCCTGGAGGATCGCGCTGACCTCATCAAAGTCTAAACAAAGTGCAGAAACGTTTGTTGATGCAACTAAACACTTTCAATTTTCTTTGTTTTCAAATCGGAAAGGAAGAGAAATATTAAAAAAAAACATAGCAAATTTCAGCGAGTGGGCTCGAAGTGCGCGAAAGCCGATGTTCAGTTCAGCAGTGAAATAATATATGTTCTACAATTTTCCCAGCACTTTAAAGCTACAAAATTAAGAGCACACGAGACGTAGATTAGTCACCTGGTGAGATGTTGGTGGTAGTCACTTTGTATGTCTCGAACAATAAAAAAAATGAATATCAATGAGACACAGTCAAAACTGCATTCAATAGGACCGAAATTAAAGTCCAATCTTGTGACCGATTTTGATGAAACAAACGGTAAGGTTTCCCAAGAAGTACAGTAAACATGTGATGCCGACCAAAAGTTAAAAATCATTAGAACATTTAAGTTCTGGCTAAAAGCAAATTCCTGTAAAAGATGCGTTACAATGTTAGTCCACGCAAAAACAAGAAGTTCTACAATTTTCCTATAAACAAACTTTGTATCGCTAAAATACTTAAGGCAAAAACTTTCTATTCCAACTGAAAACGGCGTGGTAGTCGCCCGCTGATCGTTATTAATCCACTCCCGAAATGTGGCTAAATCAGCTATTAACAAATAATTGACAGAAATCCTCTACGGCATCGAGAAACTGATTTACATCCGATTTATAGACAAACACTAAATAAAGAACATTTTGCTCAGTAGCTACGCATCAGCAATGCATTCTACGCCAAACTTTGCGGTTCTTAGAGGGTAATCAAGACACGAGTCGAGCGCCAAACAACAACAAGCAGCCATGTTCGTGTCAGACATCCTTGAGAAACTTGCTCTTTCACCTCGTTCAGCGCATCAGTCTCCACCTTAAATCAACAGATCTTTACTTATTTCGTACAACGAAGGTCTTTCCTAAGTTCCTGCTACCATTTCAATCTCAAGCAAGCTTTCAAACTGAACAATTTGGTTCCTATGACTATGCAGCACGGTCGCTGTCACTGGTCGCGTGCTCTTTGACAAGTCAGCGGTCGCGCATGCTCATGCAAAAAAGACCCCTGTTGTAGGAGACTGTTATGAACTACGAAAACTTCAGCCTGTACCTTCATCAGGGAACTATACGCTCTGTTTGTCTCCTATCCATACATTCGTAGAATGTGCATGGCGTGTCTTTGCATGTAAAGTTTGTTTTGTCTGCACTCACAAACCACGTAACTCAGAGCTCACGTCAACATCAGCTGATCGTGACAACCGTCTTTTTATTCATTTCTCTTTTTTTTGGTAACTGTATAGACCATTGACTTTCAAAACAATTGCAACAAAACTTGTCATCATGATCTCTGAGAAATGCAATTTTAAGGTAAAAAAGGGGGAAAAAATAACTCAGTGAACTCTGCTAAAAAGAAAACCTAAATCAGTGATATTTGCATTTGCTCTGAATTTCTCTGTCTGTTTAATTTATAAAAGGAGGCAAGATTACATTTCATTTCCAAAAAGTCACTTTGTTTCTTTTCTTCTGTCTGGCTAGCTGGACTACGAGCAGTCTCTCCTTTTTCTTGGTCCGTCGAGCAAAAAGCGAGACACGCAAATGACCACGCGCGTGACTGTATGAAGAAAAAGGGTGACTGCTAGCAGTATACCGTCTGGCTTATTTCGGCTAAATGCAATGAAGTAAAAAACCCACGTGTAGGAAGTTATAATTTTTTTTAAATTCTCACTGAAGGAAAAAAGGCTCTTGTATTTTGGGGTAGTTATTGGGAACTTAATTAGGCTCAGTAGGTTGTTAATTAGGAGATATAGTCAGTGTAGACCACCGCATAAATAGATCTCGTTTTGGTCATTAAATGAACAGTATTTACTCACAGTCGTTTTGTAACGAGACTGATAACAGAAATAGAGGATATTACATGGCCGCGCGCAGATACGAAATTGCTCTTTGAGTGTTGAAAAACACTCGAAAAACACGAGGAGAGAAATTTCGTAGCTCCAAGCAGCCATGTAATGTTCTATTTATTATATAAACACCAATGAAATACCAAACCATTTCACTGAAACAGTTTTTTCCTGCGAAAGGCGCGATTTATTATGTAGCCATAGCAACGGTGATATTTTCACGTGTGAAAATAACATGTTATTTTCACGTGTGAAGATATCATGTTTTCGCGCGAAAGCTCAGCTGGTATTTCATCGGTGTTTATATAATAATAATGCATATTCATACTGAGTGTTGTTTCCATAAAAAGATTAGTATATGAAATAATCACTACTATGCATTATTAAATAAATGAACAATAAGTACTTTCTTTTAGAAATTTGCAATCTCAAGGTCAAAATAAACTCCTTGGTTAAAATACCTGTCATAATATTAATACTGGACCCACATATAAGAACTTGCAATTGCTTAATCTTACTTGGCTAAACAGGTTCTTATATTTTTGGGTACCCTTATACCAAGCTGGCAAATTTCTGCAAGCAGTTTCTTAAGCCACTAGGTTCTTACAACGCGGGTTTTTGCCGCAATACCGTGATGGCACCTCCCCAGTCCATGAGCGTTGCCTCAGTGCCCACCTTTTCCGAGACTTCGCGTGGATAACGGGGCAAGAGAGAACGTTTAGGGACTAGGCTGGAACAGCAATTCAGGGCTGACCGAATTAAGATGAAATGCCCTGTAAGGAAATTTTCAGTTGTATTGAATGATATATAGATTTTTTGTTCACTTTAAACAAAAACGTAAAATCGTGTAATGCTAAACGGCGATGGCAATGAGAACGGCAACAAAAGCAATAGATCTAATCAGCAAAAAAACAAATTATTTGCACGTGCAGCACACTCTTTTGTACATTTCTTTGCCGTTGTTTTTTACAAATGCAATGCCGTTTTGCACGACTAAAACGTCAAACTTCCTCGTTACACATTATTTTTTATGGAGGAATTGTCGTATGTGCTCACCAATAATTTTGGTGCTTGAGTTCCTGTTCACTTTTATTTTTTTCACTGCCGCTCATTTTCACCTTGCTGGCCGCTAGCATTTCTCATTTGTCTGACCGCCGCTATTTTCATGTTTTTCTTCCAACGAAATTCGTCTCCTTTGTTTTCAGTTACTCGCTCTAGCTCCTTCTCTGTTATCCAAGTGAGTGTAGACATAAAAAATAACGTCAAAAAAGACTCGACTTTGTTCTTGTTTTTTCTCTCTAAAAGCCTCGGGTGGTTATGCGATTTCCCGCCAACATTAACAACGCCTCGAGTTAATTGCCTGTGGTGTCATACCTGTTAATTGAGTTATTTTACATTGGTATGTCTTTGGTGTGGACGGACGGTCGGACGGGCGTATGTTCAAGTGATTACCAAAATTTCTAGGATGGGTGGATTACCAAATTTTCTTGGGTATGGGGCTCTGCTATAAAGATCCTTTTCACCATTGTTCAAGTCATGTTATTGTGCAAGGAATTTTATTCGAGGATAGTACTGACACGGAGAAGAAACAATCGCACCCTCTCCCGCGGGAGAGAGTTCTCTTTTGTCCAATTTTTATACATTCCTTCATAGATCAACCTTGTTTGGTCACGATTCTGGACATTGGCATCGTGTGTTCATAAAAATGCAAAAAATAAAAATAAAAATAAATTGGCCAATATACGGCATCTAGACTCACGCTTGGTCGATAATGCATAATGTAAAAGCCAATCGATCGCTGGTAATGATACTGAAATATGGATGCGCCCGCCGAGATCAACCGAAATTGGGTAAATAACAAGGAACACAACTTCAACAGATGGTAAGATAAGTAAATTTTATTCAAAAATATAGTTTTTGTAGCTCAAGCAGGTGATATCTCATTCTACCTGACGCAGTTCGCAAACATTATATGCCCCTTTAACTCATGCGCACGTTCGCGAGTACAATGTACAGTCTCTTCCAGGCTCCCTTCTCTCCCCTCCCTCCGCCCCCACCTCCCCCCCCCCACTAAAAATCATTATGCCAGTCCTAAAGTTAATACTGAGCGTTTCATGTCTACCTTTGTAAATAGATAAATAGTTGCAATGAGTATAACTTTAGTATAGGATAGTTAGGATTTATGCAGGACCCCACTGGAAACCACATGTGTGACGTGAGCTCCCTGTTTATTTCGATGATGTATAATTCATAATCTGTAACAACTAGGATATGTACCTTTATCTTATGTGCATTAAAGGCCATTATTGCTATTATTATTATTATTATTATTATTATTACTATTATTATCATTATTAGAGTAAACATGACATACTGATCTCTCAAGGATTGCTCAATACATTTATTCTACGAGGCTGCCTTTGGCGGTTTCAATGCAGGTAAGACCCCTTTTACCGGCAGTCTGGGTGAAATTGAAAACGCATGCCTTTTTTCGGCCTTCTTCGGTGTGAAAACGCCTTTCTCGATCATGCAAAGCGAATCTCTGTAGACTGGATAAATTTGAAAATTCCGACTACTTGCTTTATGGTAAACGCCGCATTTCACTAGCATCAAACGTGTTCTCAAAGCGTAGATCTTAAAGCCAGGGGTCATGAAGCTAACCTTACTGCTAAGATTTATCTCAAGTATTGTCGCATAACTATAGGCCTTTGTTAAATATGAAATTAAAGAAACCTTTCCAGTTACTACTTTTATCAATCGTCGAAATTAGAAATGTCCCTTTACAAATGTCTACTTCATAATTTAAGAAACTACACTAGGAAATGAGGTAAAATATGTAAATCTCGTTTTATTCTTCTTTACAGTCTCTGTTTTCTTTTTTGTTTTGTTTTACTCTTCCTGTTTTGTTGTTGTAGAAGAGTTATTTTACTTGAACCGTCAAACAGGTAGTAGAATACTAAGCATCGCTGATGTAATAATTCTATATTGTCTTTTTTTGTTTACCTCTCTTTATTTTACACTATTTGTTAGTACCTGTTTCACGGTTCAAGTAAAATCACTCTAAGTAGTAAGTTATACAAAATATATTTCGAAACGAGCAGAAGTGCTTTGTCTATTCCTAACTGCAAGGCATGGCAGACTATCGACTTAACATTCACAGTTCAATGATATTTTATGTAAATTTGTAAATCTTAAATTTTAAATTGCATTTCTTAACTGATACTGAATTTTTCATATAAATTTGTTAAATCTTAGATTTTTCAATTTTGAATTGAACTTTTGGAATTTCATGTGCGACTTTTTAGTCTTCTCATCTTTTACATTTTAAATTTTGTATTAATTATACCTATTTAAATTATTTTTTAACTGTTCACTTTCAAAACAATTGCAAGATACCTTGTCATCATGATCTCTGAGATTTTGGATTTTAAATTTTGAACTTGACTTATGGAATTTCATGTGCTTTCTTTTTTTCAGTTTCCTCATCTTTTACGATTAAATTTTGAATTTAACCTTTGGAATTTCATGTACGTTTTTTAATTAATATTTTCCTTATCTTAAATTTAAAGATTAGTTAGATATTAGGAATGTATAATACGTTCCTGTTTTATTATAGACTAGTATATACACGACCCCTCCAGCAGCTTTCCTGCTTTACTACTGTGTGTTTAGAGTCATTCATTCATTCATTCATTCCCAAAAATCAAAAGCTTAATGGCAGTAAATTTTGTCACAATTTACATTTGACAATATAACAGGGAGACATCCAAGCGACGGGCAACTAATTTGGTATCACTTATTTTTATCCTTAAATCTCTTTCAAAATCTTTGATTCTTAGAATTACTGATATTAATTGTTTTAACTCTTTGCCACACTATGCTTCACACTGTTTCAGTCTGCGTTCCCAAAGGCTTTTGATGGAGAGCACTAACTCGTGCCGTTTGACTCACCAGAGACGCAATGATAACAATTCTCTCTCTCCTTAAATAACTGAACTAATCACATAACTGAGCATTCGCTCTCATCTTCAGAGGAGCTCTCGTGCTGAGTATTGAATTTGTTCGAAGTACTGGTTGACAGTGTCGATGAACGGGATCCTGAAAAACGGCTTGACGGACGCCCACCACGGTACGCGGTTGACCCTTTGGTTCGCCTGTTTGGGTAAGACGTAGTTGACGTATTGTATGATGCCCGAGATGGGGAAGGGTAACCACCTCTACCTCTGGATACGCAAGCACTCGAGCTTCTCTGCTGACGACGTGTGGTAGGTGACCTGTTCTTGTTGTCAAGCGCTTTAGAAACTCCGACTGCTATTGCCCCTACCGCTGCAATTGCTGCCACCGCGGCTCCCGCCACTAACGGCCAAGAAGGTCCTTCTTGGCGGTTAGTGGAAGGAGACGTGGGAAAAGGTATCCCTCTTGTAGCTGTAGGTTGCTGAAAGCTATATCCGACTTGAGCTGTCGAGTATTCGATGATGTACTCTGGGTAGCACTGATCAATATCAAAGACCACGAAAATGGTTGGGAATGACACGCAATTTACACAAGAGTCGTACAGATCGCTCGCTTGATTTACAGGGTTCTTTGCTGGTGGCCGTCGATAGCTGGGATGACCAGTAGTGTAAGAGCCAGCAAGAACCTTGGCCACGAACATGAACTTGGACCCTTTTAAGTCTCTCTCGGCGTAATTGTCGCTATAAGAAGCACTTACGGCGAAGTAGCTTCCTGCTCCATAGACCGTTGCGTTCTTCCCATACAAACGCCAATCAAAGTTGTCTTTGCAGATTCCTTCCACGTTCTCAGGATTGGTTCCATGAAACAACTGCTTCTCGTTCACGGACTGGATCGTAGTGTAACCCGCAGTCCTCGAAGATAACATGTTTTCTTTTTTCCTAAAACAAAATACAGCACACAATTCTTTAATAAAATGATTATGATTTCCACACCTTTTAAGGAATCTGAAGCCACAGGCTGCTATACGTAGAACATAATTTTGCGTCCGTATACTGTTTTAATTTGTTTTTAGTGACAGTATATTGTGTGGTGTTCAGGCGGATGAAATCAGTATAAATGACACTGACGTCACCGTCAGAAAAACTACTGCTTGAATGTATTTAGCACGAAAAGAACCATTGACGACTCCACATATATTTTTACGTCTCCTAATGAAGACGAAACCACCATTTTACGAGAAAGGAAATAACACGCTGAGAAACTCAAGTATCATCGATTATAACTGGTTATGGATACCTTCAACAAATAGGTGAATCTTTGTTACTTTACATTTTTTGCCTCATTAACATACCGTAAAATTCCGAAAAGAAGCCCCGGGCCTTATATTTTTCAAAGGCTCTTTTTGCGGGGCTTATTTCTGGAGGGGCTTATCTATGGAGGGAAATTTGCGTTTCAAAATCGATTGGGCTAGTCTTAAAGTTGGAAGGAGATTTACCGTTTTTGCTATGTTTTACTTTGTATTTGAGGGCAATTTCCAAGTACAAGCCCCCGGGGGGCTTATATTTGGAGGGGCGATTTAACTGAGGGTTTTTTGGGCTACGAGTTTGGGGGGCTTATATTTGGAGGGGCTTATTTTCGGAATTTTACTGTATGTTTATCATTATCTGAGGAAGCTATTAACTTAAAGGCTAAAATCTCTGGATAATTCAAAGAACATAACAATTTCAGTTATCTGCGAAAATTTGAGCTCAATAGACCGAATGATCTCGGAGAGATTCTCTTTTAAGTACTCGAAATTTTACAAACAATTTATGGCTCATTAACTTTTTGGCCACTCAGCGATTTCGCAGTTTTTTTATAGCTGATATTTCCTTCAGTATTGCTTGCATAGAGCTGAAAATTGTACAAATTGCTCAAAATAATCAGCTATTTCAGCTTTTGAATTTAGTTCGTATATACGGCCACGGCTTCTATGAGTTAAGTCGTATGCTAATGAGGAAAAATGAAAACATTGACGTCAGCAAAGATTAGCGTACATGCTGGGTCGCGATTAATAGGGTACACCCTATTGTAAACGCACTCACGCACCTTTGATACTTTTCCCACATGAAAGGGTTTTGCACTCGTTCAATGCTAATGATTGTCACGCTTTGCTCGATCGAGTTTCTAAAGAGCTCCTCCACAAGTTCAAATTCGTCAGAATATGGTGATATCCAAACACGCTGATAACGCGTCATATACGGCATTTGCGACCAGTGGCCTGGTATATAAAGTCTTGTTGCATTTCTCTCGCGCTCCACGTCCTGAAATTCATAAGGAGACAAATCTTTTCGTTTGGAAATCACCTGTAGGGAAGCAGAGCAATCATACTCTTCAGCGAGGTATTCAAGGACTTTTACCTCGGACGGCTCACTAGAACTTACAGCAACGCCTTCTTTAGATGTCATGTCCTGATCGTCCCCGCTTACTTTACCAGTCACGCCCTTTGTGGCGTTGCTGCCCCTGAGATCTTTTAAACCACTCGAAATGCTCTCGCATACCAAAAGCGTTCGACGTACTGGATCAACTTTGCCTCTTATAATTCTTAAGCCAAAGTTCTGAAGTATGGAAACGGTGTGAGCGTTGGCAAACGCACTCTCGTGACGAAGGCCACAACCCGCTTCCTCATCTTCACAGCTCTCTCTGACATAGTCCTTGCAAATGTGCACCTGGCTGCAAGACAAACCTTTTGTGCAACATCCATTGTTATAGTCCAAACATACTTGAGGCAATGAAAGCTGAAAAACCTTGCGGAGGTGTTCTTCAGTCAAACCATCCAAATTGAGTTCCGAAATTAATTTTCGATCTTTGTCGTATTGAAAACTGTGTTTTCTTTGGCATCTACCACCACGTCTGCAGAATCCTGCGATGTACTCCCTGCATACATGGAAGTAAGGACAATCATTTTGAGAACACTTTCTCTTGAAACAAAACCTTGCCTTTCGACAGAGAACACTAACTTGGAAAATTGTTCCTTTCTTTTTTCTGACTAAAAAGCTTTGTTTTCTTGCCTCAAACCACTTGGCAATATCCGCACAAATGTTAGGAAACAAATCTTGTCGTTTCGAAATGAGTTCAAAGGACACCGTGCCATCGTATTCTTTCACAATACAATCGAAAACAGCCTTTTTGGAGGGTGCACATTCTTGAACAGAGCTATTAGGCAGATTATTGAAGGAGCTTTGTTTCACGGTATCACACTGAGATTTTGTAGCGTGCTTTAGTGATGCGGAAACTTTCGGCGATGGTTTAGTACCTTGTTTGACTGCCAGCGCCGTATCTAACGTTTTCGTATCTGCGTTGCAAACTTCGGGGGAAGATTCACAAACTTTGTAAAGAACTCGCTGCTCCCTCGGAACCAAAGTATTGCAACGAACAAAATCTGTTGACATCGACTGATGCGGTACCAGATCATACTCTTTGAGAATCTTCAGGTTGTGAGAATCCGTGAGGTCGTGTGACAAAGAACAAGAACACGCTGAACTTCGGACAGCTTGAGAACAAAAATGAAGGTATAGACATGAATCCGACGTACATTTGCCTTTTGTATACAGCTCACAAACCTGTGGTAAGCTCCACGCAACAATATTTTTGACAGTCCCGTTCGGATATTTAGCCAATCCCAATTCTTTTAATATCTTCTCGTTGTTTTTTGGGTCAAAGAAATTGTGCAAGCGATTGCATTTGCCATGGCAGTTTTGTTCGATGAATCCTTTACAAATATGCCAGAACTTACACTTCCCCTGAGCACTTCGACAAGAACCTTTGTCGTGATATTGTCGACATATTTTTCTTCTTAAATCAATTCGCACACCTGCTATCTCGCCATTGATACCGTTGCGTTCTTCCCATACAAACGCCAATCAAAGTTGTCTTTGCAGATTCCTTCCACGTTCTCAGGATTGGTTCCATGAAACAACTGCTTCTCGTTCACGGACTGGATCGTAGTGTAACCCGCAGTCCTAGAAGATAACATGTTTTCTTTTTTCCTAAAACAAAATACAGCACACAATTCTTTAATAAAATGATTATGATTTCCACACCTTTTAAGGAATCTGAAGCCACAAGCTGCTATATGTAGAACATAATTTTGGGTCCGTATACCGTTTTAATTTGTTTTTAGTGACAGTATATTGTGTGGTGTTCAGGCGGATAAAATCAGTATAAATGACACTGACGCCACCGTCAGAAAAACTACTGCTTGAATGTATTTAGCACGAAAAGGACCATTGACGACTCCACGTATATTTTTACGTCTCCTAATGAAGACGAAACCACCATTTTACGAGAAAGGAAATAACACGCTGAGAAACTCAAGTATCATCGATTATAACTGGTTATGGATACCTTCAACAAATAGGTGAATCTTTGTTACTTTACATTTTTTGCCTCATTAACATACCGTAAAATTCCGAAAAGAAGCCCCGGGCCTTATATTTTTCAAAGGCTCTTTTTGCGGGGCTTATTTCTGGAGGGGCTTATCTATGGAGGGAAATTTGCGTTTCAAAATCGATTGGGCTAGTCTTAAAGTTGGAAGGAGATTTACCGTTTTTGCTATGTTTTACTTTGTATTTGAGGGCAATTTCCAAGTACAAGCCCCCGGGGGGCTTATATTTGGAGGGGCGATTTAACTGAGGGTTTTTTGGGCTACGAGTTTGGGGGGCTTATATTTGGAGGGGCTTATTTTCGGAATTTTACTGTATGTTTATCATTATCTGAGGAAGCTATTAACTTAAAGGCTAAAATCTCTGGATAATTCAAAGAACATAACAATTTCAGTTATCTGCGAAAATTTGAGCTCAATAGACCGAATGATCTCGGAGAGATTCTCTTTTAAGTACTCGAAATTTTACAAACAATTTATGGCTCATTAACTTTTTGGCCACTCAGCGATTTCGCAGTTTTTTTATAGCTGATATTTCCTTCAGTATTGCTTGCATAGAGCTGAAAATTGTACAAATTGCTCAAAATAATCAGCTATTTCAGCTTTTGAATTTAGTTCGTATATACGGCCACGGCTTCTATGAGTTAAGTCGTATGCTAATGAGGAAAAATGAAAACATTGACGTCAGCAAAGATTAGCGTACATGCTGGGTCGCGATTAATAGGGTACACCCTATTGTAAACGCACTCACGCACCTTTGATACTTTTCCCACATGAAAGGGTTTTGCACTCGTTCAATGCTAATGATTGTCACGCTTTGCTCGATCGAGTTTCTAAAGAGCTCCTCCACAAGTTCAAATTCGTCAGAATATGGTGATATCCAAACACGCTGATAACGCGTCATATACGGCATTTGCGACCAGTGGCCTGGTATATAAAGTCTTGTTGCATTTCTCTCGCGCTCCACGTCCTGAAATTCATAAGGAGACAAATCTTTTCGTTTGGAAATCACCTGTAGGGAAGCAGAGCAATCATACTCTTCAGCGAGGTATTCAAGGACTTTTACCTCGGACGGCTCACTAGAACTTACAGCAACGCCTTCTTTAGATGTCATGTCCTGATCGTCCCCGCTTACTTTACCAGTCACGCCCTTTGTGGCGTTGCTGCCCCTGAGATCTTTTAAACCACTCGAAATGCTCTCGCATACCAAAAGCGTTCGACGTACTGGATCAACTTTGCCTCTTATAATTCTTAAGCCAAAGTTCTGAAGTATGGAAACGGTGTGAGCGTTGGCAAACGCACTCTCGTGACGAAGGCCACAACCCGCTTCCTCATCTTCACAGCTCTCTCTGACATAGTCCTTGCAAATGTGCACCTGGCTGCAAGACAAACCTTTTGTGCAACATCCATTGTTATAGTCCAAACATACTTGAGGCAATGAAAGCTGAAAAACCTTGCGAAGGTGTTCTTCAGTCAAACCACCCAAATTGAGTTCCGNGAAAATTTGAGCTCAATAGACCGAATGATCTCGGAGAGATTCTCTTTTAAGTACTCGAAATTTTACAAACAATTTATGGCTCATTAACTTTTTGGCCACTCAGCGATTTCGCAGTTTTTTTATAGCTGATATTTCCTTCAGTATTGCTTGCATAGAGCTGAAAATTGTACAAATTGCTCAAAATAATCAGCTATTTCAGCTTTTGAATTTAGTTCGTATATACGGCCACGGCTTCTATGAGTTAAGTCGTATGCTAATGAGGAAAAATGAAAACATTGACGTCAGCAAAGATTAGCGTACATGCTGGGTCGCGATTAATAGGGTACACCCTATTGTAAACGCACTCACGCACCTTTGATACTTTTCCCACATGAAAGGGTTTTGCACTCGTTCAATGCTAATGATTGTCACGCTTTGCTCGATCGAGTTTCTAAAGAGCTCCTCCACAAGTTCAAATTCGTCAGAATATGGTGATATCCAAACACGCTGATAACGCGTCATATACGGCATTTGCGACCAGTGGCCTGGTATATAAAGTCTTGTTGCATTTCTCTCGCGCTCCACGTCCTGAAATTCATAAGGAGACAAATCTTTTCGTTTGGAAATCACCTGTAGGGAAGCAGAGCAATCATACTCTTCAGCGAGGTATTCAAGGACTTTTACCTCGGACGGCTCACTAGAACTTACAGCAACGCCTTCTTTAGATGTCATGTCCTGATCGTCCCCGCTTACTTTACCAGTCACGCCCTTTGTGGCGTTGCTGCCCCTGAGATCTTTTAAACCACTCGAAATGCTCTCGCATACCAAAAGCGTTCGACGTACTGGATCAACTTTGCCTCTTATAATTCTTAAGCCAAAGTTCTGAAGTATGGAAACGGTGTGAGCGTTGGCAAACGCACTCTCGTGACGAAGGCCACAACCCGCTTCCTCATCTTCACAGCTCTCTCTGACATAGTCCTTGCAAATGTGCACCTGGCTGCAAGACAAACCTTTTGTGCAACATCCATTGTTATAGTCCAAACATACTTGAGGCAATGAAAGCTGAAAAACCTTGCGAAGGTGTTCTTCAGTCAAACCACCCAAATTGAGTTCCGAGATTAATTTTCGATCTTTGTCGTATTGAAAACTGTGATTTCTTTGACATCTACCAACACGTCTGCAGAAGCCTGCGATGTAATCCCTGCATACATGGAAGTAAGGACAATCATTCTGAGAACACTTTCTCTTGAAACAAAACCTTGCCTTTCGACAGAGAACACTAACTTGGGAAATTGTTCCTTTCTTTTTTCTGACTAAAAAGCTTTGTTTTCTTGCCTCAAACCACTTAGCGATGTCCTCACAAATGTTAGGAAACAAATCTTGTCGTTTTGAAATGACTTCAAAGGATACCATACCATCGTATTCTTTCACAATGCAATCGAAAACAGCCTTTTTGGAGGGCGCACATTCTTGAACAGAGCTATTTGGCAGATTATTGAACGAGCTTTGTTTCGCGGTATCACACCGAGATTTTGCAGCGTGCTTTGGTGATGCGGAAACTTTCGGCGATGGTTTATTACCTTGTATGACTGCCAGCGCTGCATCTAACTTTTTCGTATCTGCGTTGCAAACTTCGGGTGAAGATTCAAAAACTTTGTACAGAACTCGCTGCTCCTTCGGAACCAAAGTATTGCAACGAACAAAATCTGTTGACATCGACTGATGCGGTACCAGATCATACTGTTTAAGAATCTTCTTGTTGTGAGAATCCGTGAGGTCGTGTGACAGAGAACAAGAACACGCTGAACTTCGGACAGCTTGAGAACAAAAATGAAGGTATAGACATGAATCCGACGTACATTTGCCTTTTGTATACAGCTCACAAACCTGTGGTAGGCTCAACGCAACAATATTTTTGATAGTCCAGTTCGGATAGTTAGCCAATCCCAATTCTTTTAATATCTTCTCGTTGTTTTCTGGGTCAAAGAAATTGTGCAAGCGGTTGCATTTGCCATGGCAGTTTTCTTCGATGAATCCTTTACAAATATGCCAGAACTTACACTTCCCCTGAGCACTTCGACAAGAACCTATATCGTGATATTGTCGACATATTTTTCTTCTTAAATTAATTCGCACACCTGCTATCTCGCCATTGAAATCTTTCACGACGATTAAACGCGGATCATCTTGACTCGTCAGCCAGTTTTTCGCTTCTACCTCTGATTTTCTACTTCCCAAGGGCGAGGACTGCTTCAAAAGAACAGATAACTCCACAAAACCGCCACTACCGCAGATAAAATTGAACACTTCCTCCACCAAAACATCCGCCGCCATCTCGTCCCGGCCGTAACGAAAATTTCCTAGGTTGTGAAATGTCCTCAATTTATTTAGTCCTAGGAGGAATCACGTCGAGAAAGCTTGTAAAAGGTTGTCATGAACAGCAAAAAATTTAGGGTATTAAACGGTCGGCCATTCTCCTTTCCTAACAATCGTAATATGTGACGTGTCCTCTGTGTCTTCGAATGCAAATTTGTTTTGTCTGCACTCACCAAGCACGTGGTTGCACATGTCAACATCAGCTGATATTTATTCTTTTTTTAATTTTTTTTTTCAGTTTTCCATTTTACAGTGTGTTGAAATCAATGAATAAAAATATCGAAAACGCCTAAATGTTGGCAAGCAGGATTTTGCGAGCTTTTCAGTTAACGTAACTGAATTCAAGTTGCTCCGAGGTGATCAATTGCCTACGTAGGGATGGTGCGCATTGGCGCTCTTTTGTTCCCGTGGTATGAAAAAATGAAAATTTTTCACTTTTTTTATATTTATTCGGGTAGAGAATCAGCTGATTTCCGGTGTAATTTACATTTCGGGTCGATTTGACTAATTTAATTCGTTTCCATTAATTTATTTTTAAGACTAAAACATTAGTTATTACTTTAGAAGAGTTCTGACAACCGTCGGGCTAAATTTCATAACGGTAATTGCTCGAATCAGTAGCACCTAAGATGCTAATTTATTTATTTGTTTTTTTGCCACATGGGAGGGGAGAGTTATAGGTTAATCGGGAGGGTTAGGCGCAGTGTTTAACGGGGGCGCTCTTCTATTCTTGAGAATTCCAGCCTCAACCACATACCTTAGTTTCAAATAAACGAAGCTGCAACATTTAAAACAAACTAAAAAAGAAGAACTTATCTTTCAGCATAAATGTACCTAGGCAGGAGCCCATCAAATGGATGGGCTCCTCACCTAGGCGTATATTCAGAAAGGAGAATGGTTTTATATCATAATTATTGCGTTTGACGAAGGGAATCGCATACTAATCCTGTCTCCCGGGATATCGTTCTGTATACCGTGCGATAGGCCCTTTGCAACTAGCCATTCGCGTGGTACAAGACCGCCGTGCTGGAGAGCAGAAATCGCACTGGGACAAGACAAACAAAGAAAATTACCATTACAAATTATGTATGTATTTTGTTTGTCTTGTCCCAGTGCGACTTTTGCTCCCCAGCGTGGCGGTTTTGCACCACGTGAATGGCTAGCTGCAAAGGGCCTTTTTCACGGTTTGGACGCCATCTTGGACTGGCTGGCACATTTGGCTTCGATCTCATGTGATCATATTCTAGGCCACGGTTATGGCTCTGTTTAAAAGTAGCAGTAATCGTAGATTATAGTGCCTCTCCGGTTCCCATAAAGCATGTTAATCATTTTCGCCCTACACTGAGTTATGTGGAGTAGTTGATTTCTCACACGAAATTACTTTTGAAAGAAATTCTGTGGTTTTTCCATTCAAATGAAACCTCTTCGGCAGAACTTTTGCATAGTACTATTTATTTGTAACGCGAACATACCAAATGACGCATGGCGCGCTCGGCATGCTGGATGCTATTTTGACGTTTCAAAATGGCGCAGATTTGGAACCGAACAGCGACAACCTCTTTTCTCGATTCTTGCGCTTGGAACATGCCAGGCCACCCACGAACACACAGAACACCCAACGACTCAATTAGGAAGCGTCTCCTTTGTCGACACGCAGCTACTGGAGAGGTGGAAGATTCTGTTTGTCAACAAATAAAGCTTTCTACGGCTTACCAAAGGGTGAATATCTTTAATATACTGGTAGTTTACTTGACTCTTTGTCCGCGGTTCTCTGTTTTCTTTGTTCTTTGTGTCCCTGACCTAAATATTTAAACATCTTTTCTTTTAACTGGCTGCCTGGCATTTTTAACTCTTAGGTTATTTCGGGCAGCCAGCGCCCCTATCATCGTCTGTACTATTGTTATAAATTTTTATTTCTTGTATATTAGCGGGTGAAATAAAGTGTTGTTGTTGTTGTTGTTGTCAAATTCTGAATTTGGTCACGCGTCCGTCATTTTTGGAGGTATTAAGCTACTAGAGCGGTTTTCACTTGACTGTCGTAAAACCAAAACCAAAGTAAATACACTAGCCAACCAAAGGGCGTAGTAAAACCAAAACCAAACCAATTCCTCAATTACTTTCGACAGTCAAGTGAAAACCGCTCTATTATAAAAAAATGTAAACGCAATCACTGATCTAAAATTACTTCTAGTTCTAAAGCGGGTGTTTATTGTGTTCGACGACGACGAGGGAGAAGGCTTACTATTCGAGTCCCGTGGGAGATCCCGCGGGTAGGGTTCTGGATGCCATTCGATTTCACAGTTTGGGTGCCATCTTGAACTGGCTGGCTGGCTCATTTTGCCTCGATCTCATGAGTTTAGTTTTTCTCGCCCGGGAACTGACGGAACTGGTATCTATTTTGTGACACTCGTCACAGATGAAACATTGACGAGTTTGTGTTTATGGCAGGTTTTTTTTATCGTTTTCCCGGAGGGGGGAGGTACTGCCCTATATAAGCTATATAAGCATGTGCCGCCCCATCGGGTAGGGTTTTTGCGCCGTTTTGGTCTGAAAACGGGTATACAATTTGCCCATATATTTTTGTCTGGAGTCGGGTATGGTTTTTGAGGGAACTACGGGAGTGTATGAACGTATTTATCGTTTCAATTCCAAATGAGTAAGAAAGAAAGAGAAATATGCGAATTGGAACCGGATTTGAAGAATTTTTTGTTTGCGCTCTAATCTAAGTAATGATAACATAATTTCTGTCCAAAGGCCTGGTCTGAAAATGGGTGTGGAAAATTACATGGTCTGAAATAGGTAGGGTTAGGATTTGGAGAACCGGGCGGCACACGCCCACCAAAAATTCCCATGAGTACCCCCTCGGGATAGTTTCTCTCACTGTTTTCAATTAAGTTTATTTTTTTAATAGGAAAAGCTCCATTCTAAGATAATCGGATATGTAGATATTATGTGAACAATGTGTTCTGCGCACTGTATTTGTAATTTAATACACCTTTTCGCTTTTAAAATTTATTTACAGCGTTGTATTCGCTTTTTTTTGTCACCATTTTTGAAAAATATACAAGAAGTCCAACGGTGGAAGTTTATCTTGTCATCTCACTAATTTCGGGTGCGTTGTATTTGAAAAACAGTGCTGAGTAGGTAAGGTTGTGTTAACGCAGTGTCACGCAACTGGGGTTTGAAGTCATACACGACGGCGCTTTGACACCTTAGTCGATGAACTTTTCAGATTATTTTAATTTTCCGTAGCCCTATTTTTAGCCAATTTTATTGAACATTCTGCAGTGCAAAAGAATGTCTTGAGGATCATAGTCAGTGTTTGACCTGTTGTTACTTATATGTTCTTCACGTAGAGGGGCTAAGCAAAGTTAATGTAAAAAAATACAGGACGCTCTTGCATTTTTGAGGAAAAATTAAATAGTAACCTTGAATTGTAAAGTGGGATGATAAGCAATAACACTGATCAAGAGAGCTGCTGATATTCATATTGATAAAAGTGCTTGATTTTGACTTCTCAATCTTACCAGCTCATCAAGTTTTGCACCCCCTTACGAATACTACCAGGAGCCGATGCTACTGATCACTACCCCCACCCACCCTCCCCATCACACGCACTCTCCTAATTTGCAATCATCACTAGTTTTATATTTTATGCCAAAAGGGGAGCATTAATCCGAATGGGGGCGCTTGTATAAACGGCGTCGTTGTAAAGCCACTTTAAAAACCGTTTTGGATATATGAATTTCCACAGGAACCTGTCATTTTCGGTTCTGCAAGGCAAATTTCCGTTTCCGGAATTCTGAGAAATTGTTATGTTTCATACAAGCGTCACACCATCGAGCATTCTGCCATCCAGCACGGAAGTGAAAGGAGAAAAGCAAAGCATTTGCCGAAGAGGTTCTGAACCCTCACACGGCCAGAGCCATGACTAAGAATTACAGTTCCTCTTCTTTAAGCGTTTGGAGGATATCACTAAACATTGTCCATTCAATTTTGTTCATTTGGAAGCAGCAATATTTCAAGGTCATCGCGGTTGTGAACGCTGCCTGCGAAAAGATTAATGGATCCTTTGTTTCGNCTTAATTTTTATTTATTACCTGCGTCAGAGAGCGAAGGCTATTTGCTCCAATCGATTTTAATGCAAAACCGTTTTTAACTCCATAACTGGTTTAGAACTTTCGGGATTAATAAGGTGCACACTTTGGAAAAAGTGTTATAAAAAAAATATTGCTTTAGAGTTTTTTTTCTCGTTTCTAGCTGGGGTCGCCAAAGGGTTAAGAATTAAACTCAGTATTGGTATGGCTTCAGAGACTTAACCGTGGAGACCTACACCTACTTAGCCATCAACCAAATGTCTTTTCTTTTTTTTTTCATTTAAGGAAATAAGGCGGAAACAATAATCTGCCCCGACGCTCCTCTTGGTAAATGTACAATGGGTGCCAATTGATTGTACAAGCACTGTCCGTTGCCTTACTGTTGGCAGTTTCGAGAGTCAACCACCGACGCCTGGATAAGCCTAAGTCCTAAAGATAATGTTGGCATTGAAAAGTGTTATTGTGACGTGGGAAAACTGGAGGTGCGACATGTTCTTTTCACGCCGGGGTGAGGTGTTGTCTGTTGAGGAATACAGTCAAAGTAAACCGTTAGCACATAATATGAGTGCAGGCGCGTTAATTGGATGTTTTGCCTGCCCCACCTTGTCCGTAAATGTCGATTTTTCTGAACCGTTTTGACTTAATTTCACAAGAAACTTAGTTTGCACTTTCTTTTAAATCAAAGCCAGGGAGAGGTTAATGCTACAATAAACTTTGAAAACATGACTATGCAGTGCGACTATGCATCTGCCACGGTTTCACTCCGCCGGCTGTCCACGCCGTCTTACATCCAGGCGCCTGGTAAAAGATTGGCCACGAAGTGGATTTGGTACTGGAAAGACGATAATGGATGGAAAGAATACGATGGAAAAGTAAGTTCTGTCGAACTTTTTTCAATATCTATTGTTGGTAGGAAACTGGCAGTTTAAATAACATGGTTGCTATTTAATGAAGTGTGGAAGTAACAACCTTATTCCACTTCTTATCAGCCCTCTTAGTATTCAGATCTGGGGGTGCAAGGGGTGAGTAACAACGTTACCCACTTAACTTGTCAGGTGGGTCACGTGACTTGCCAGAATTGATCTGATAACATTTTTCTTCCCAGTTTATTTCTCCTTGTCATGAGGAGGCAGCACCCTTTTTGCTTTAAAAAGCATGTTTGCCATCTTTTAAGCTCTAGGATTAAACTGACATTAAATTGACAACAACTATTTTCTAACATTTTGGGTTCATTATCACGAATCAGTTGTTATATTCTCCATTGTTTTCGATATAAATTTTGATTGACATTTTTCAAGGAAAAGGTGGATCTATTATGGTGGCTAGTTAAAATCGTCATCGATGTGGCCAAAAAATAGGTATGTGTAATCAAAAGATGACGAGTGAAATTATTCCCTAATTTCACGAGTATACCATTTGATTACCTATTAATATCATGGGTGACGAATTACGTTAGCAATCGAGGATTTTTGACTTATTTATGCTGGATCGTATCGATCGATCGTGAACTCCACTCTCTCAAACGTTTAGAGCTGAAATTTGGCTTAAGTTTTCAGAATTTTTCGACAACATACCTCTAAGAATCCTTCTTTATGTGCTTTTTCGTGTGTTCAGGTTTTCTAAAGCGTCTTTTTATGCCCTGACATCTTCATTCATGACATTTTAAAACTTCGTCGCCATCTTGTCACTGAGATGTACGGCAGGTTGCCATGGCAATTTAGTAATTTCACATGTGAAATTACAAATTAACGCTGAAATTTCGCGCCAAAATTAACGAGTAATTCGTCACCTATGATATTATTATCATAACAAGAACAGCTAAACGATTTAATTTCACTTGATGTTTTACACAAGACTTTGGATAGTGCTGTTCCTTATTGTTCTTCGTATTTACCAATGTGTTATTTCGTTTCACTAATTTAAATTTTTTAAAAACATTCTTGAAAGTAGGATAAAGGAGAGAAAACCGCTGGCGCAAGATTTTATTTCTGTCCGCCATTCGTGTCAAGAATTACACTTAGGTCTGGACACAGAATTCTTTTTAACATCATAACGCAAATTTTGTGTTGTGCTTTTAGATCTCACGTGAGATGGCACAAGAAAACATAGAGGCTGACTATCTTAACAAAGAGGGATTTTACTTCTTTCACATAAACCGACGTAAATACATGATAACATTATATGACAAGTCGATGCGTCAAAGGAATATGGATCCCAATTACCGCACCGAGAGAAGTGTCAGAAGAAGACCAAAGTTTGTTGCTGAGTCAGAGCTTCATGATCATTCCCATACAAGGTCAGGTTCCGTAGGTTTGTTATTTCCATTTTTAAATCCATGGGCCGGAAGGGGATGCGGAACTTCGTTAGTTAAGCTCTGCTGGTATGTGCTTGTATGGCTATGTCACGTAGTACAATAGCTGGAGAGCAAGGAATGCACTGGGATAGCACAAACCAGGAAATTACATTATTCAGTGTAGGAAATTAACGATGCACTTTATTAAAGCGATTTTTGTTTAAATCGCGTTAATTTAATGCATCTTAATTTACGTCGATGTTAATTTAAATCACACTATTCTACATCATTGTTGTTTTACAGCACCTTTTCAATAACAAAACCTCGTCTGCTAATAGTTCCTCTATCAACGCCTTGGAGTCACTATTTGACAGTTCTTCCTTGCGAGGCATAGGAAAATGCCAGGATCCAAGGGAGCGTTCCCTCTCTAGATCCAATTACGGAGAAGTAGCATGACTGAGATAACAATGACTGGAAATGCTGCTGTTTTTTCCTTTAGATATGTATGTTGAGAAGTTTGTATTGCAGCAAATTCGCGTAAAATAATTAATCAATTAAGTTAGGCGCACATCGTTTTCGAAAATTTCGCGTTAATTCAGTAATGTATATGAACCAAACTTTTGGAAAATTCGCGTTAATTTTGTGTAACGTAAATCTTCTTGACGTTGTCAACGTGCATCGTTAATAATTTTGTATTATATGGTATATCACTTAAATTGAGAATTTCGATTTACGATGATGCCTGAACTGTCTGTTTCTCCCATCCCACAAGCCCCTAAGAACGTCTGCGTGGGAGGCTAGCTGATGTACGGGTCCAAATGGGTCATTGAAAATTGATGATTTTTTTATTTTACCTCCATATTTTTACCAAATTAATTAGTCCAGAACAATATTGATTGTTGGAAGAGTGACAGATACAGTTAACTTTTTTTCTCAACGGATATCTCGCTATGACATCTAGACTGCCTACCTTTCTTTACTCCGTTTAGTTGACTCTCATATAAAGGCAGACATCTCGATGAAACGGGCACCGAGAACTGGTCACTGCCTTTGTTTACTCGTTAAAGCTGACTACCTAGCTATGAGACGGACACGTCGCCAAAAAGGACACCTAGAGTTGGTCCCTGCCTTTCTTTACTCCTTTTAATTGCCTCTAAAAGACAGACATCTTGTTTTCAAAAGAAACGGTTGACTGAATACACGCCGTTTTTATGGCACCAGTGTAGTCAACTCCCAGTTCGTGTTTTTCGATGTCCAAAACTGACCACCCTATAAAAGACTGACGCTTGATACAATTAAGGCAAACAAAGTAATAACCTTGCGGTTTTTTTCTTCCATTTTGCAGTTTTTTCAGCCTATTCAACTCATTTCCCAGAGTCTCTAACATCGTTCAAGCCATTAGCAGACGTCTCATGGGTCATGACAATACCTTCAAACGAATTCCCCTGTCAGCAGATAGTGAGGAATTCAAAAAGGTGGAAACGCTGTTTCATAAAACAATCCTAAAACGCAAGGCAAAGATAACTGTGATCGAGAAAATAAAGAATGCTTTCTTAAATGAGAGATACAAAAGGTATAGTAAATGTATGAACAAGACCTTAAGTTCTGTATTCTTAAGCCCCAGGCAATCGGATGCAACATTGTTGGCCAACAACTCTAAACATTGTTAGATCAAAAATGTTACATATTGCGTCCGTTTTCACACCCTGTTGCATGACTGTTGTTGCGTGTTGTTGGGCAATGTTTGAAACCACCGGTCAAACTTTTAGCCCCGTGCAAAAGGGACGCAACATTGTTGGGAGTTGTTGCGTCCGTTATCACGTACAATTGTAGCTTGGGTCTTTTACCGTACGGACTATTGTCAAGGTCAATTCACATTTATTAATTCGGTCAAGAGTGAGCTGAAATAAGAGCCAGCTATCCTCACTCATCATTTTTTATCATTATAAACTCTGAAAGAAAAATAAAAAGAGATTTTCTTACAGAGAAAACAAAGCATGACCATTTTAACTTAATTTTTCGATGACACGAAAGTTGAACTTGAAAATGTTGGCCAATTCTTTTTTCATAACAAGTAAACAAGTTGTGAAAGGTTTGAACCCTGGAGTCATTTCATAAGTAGGTTAAGTATATCGTCCGGGTGAACAAGGTCCTGAATAGGACTATTGTTGTTGACAGTGACTGACGTTTCCACAACCTGTATGGTAGTCATCTTCAGAGTCAAAGTGAGTTGTATCACGTCAGTTGATGGTATTAAACTTTGGTTATTGACCTGGGATCAATGAAATAAAACTTTTACAACTGTAATTTACTAGTTTAGCTATTGTTTTAGGACCCTAAAACAATAGCTGCACTTGTAAATTACAACTGTAAAGGTTTTATTAAATTGACCCCTGATTGGTAAATTAAGTCGCGATGTTATTGGTCGTCTGTCAGTTAAGCCGTGATGTTATTCTCCATTAATGAAGACTCGTAATGCCATTGGTGCGTTTCAAATAATCCGTCTATTTTAACAGTTAAACAGTCGTTTACTGTAGGTCAAATCGTTAGTTGTTCAGTCGTTCTCTCGAAGTTAGTTTTGCTTGATTCCGTTAATAAGTCGTTTGTACGGTGCTGGTAACTGTTGATTACGATTCAGTGGCGTTTGCTCTAAGTTAGGAAACCAGCTTTCTAAAGTGAGTCGTTGATAGTAGTCTGTAGAATACGTAATAAATGTCACAGTGTCTGACTTTGCGACATATCTGACGATCATATCCAAATCATACTTAACCTACTTATGAAATAAAAAAGTTGCAATCCACTTCCACCGCGGGGTCCTTGAAAGCTATAAAGGCACTTTCTTACCAGTTAATTTCGGTTTTTCCTTGGCCAAAAAGTTTATTTTTCAGTCTTTCGGCCTTGAAAGTCTCCCTTGAGTACCAGACGAGGTATCCACTAAAGAAGATTTTTTTAATTTCTTTTTAAACTATCTTTTGGTGTCTGGATTCGTTTTGCTACTAGATGCAGATGCATGAATACGAAATAAAAACCGTTTGAACGCGTTTTCAGCAACTTTGAATCCGGAATCTTAAATGTCGGAATACTTCAACCGAATAACCGTTCCTGGATTAACTGACGTGTGTCTGAATATCTAAAATGTAATAAATCCTGAAACATTTCTGAATGCGGCAATTAAAGTCATGCAAATGTATACGTAGAGCCCTTAGTCCTCTGCAAAAACCCACAGTTTATTCCGCAATTTCATTAAATCAATTTAACTGTAATGGGTTCATTCCATTTATAAGTTGTATACGGTGGATGTATTTTCAGGAAGAGAGACCAAATCAAGAATATACTTAAAGTCTCCGACAACGATAATGTGGAGAGGCTTCTTTTCCACGGCACCAGTTCAGATGTCATTGACGCCATCTGCAAGCACAATTTTGACCACAGGTGTCACGGCAAAAACGGCACAAAATATGGTAAAGGAAGCTATTTTGCCGTTAAGGCCTCATATAGTAACAACTACTGCAGTGGAATGACAAGATTTATGTTCCTTGCTCGAGTGTTAACCGGAGAGTTTAAGCAAGGAGATGAATCACCCCATCGACCTCCTTTAAAAGACCCTAGCAATCCCGCTAGTGATCTGTATGATTCATGCGTTGATAATGAATCAAGCCCATCAATTTTTGTCATTTTTAATGACGAACAGTGTTATCCTCTCTATCTAATAACATATGACATTATTTAAAGAGTTTAACCGACAATAACCTGGGCCTATATGATACTGTTGATGAGACGGAGCATCAGGAAAATCACAAGTCTTCGCACCAGTCCTTTTAAAAATCGTAGCAGTTGTTATAGCCAAGGAATATAGGGGGTTTCTGCCCTAGGTTCCCAATGTTTGCCTCTGCCATTACACTACCCTAAGAGGAACCTACGATCAAGTGATACACTACAGATAGCAATCTCTATGGAGAAACATACCTTTCAGGACTCAGCAGCCAATTTTTTTAACAGCCTGCCCGCAAACTTAAGATCATGTAATGTTTTTCATCGTTTCAATCAATTAGTTACTAATGTTTTTAAACAAAGGGCACAGCTCAGACTAGCAGAAATGCATGTAGTTGCTTTTTACTTGTAAATAGATTTTTGCATAATATATACAATTATAATTTGTTGTAAAATGCTTTTTTCTTGTAAATAGTTTTTCTTTTTTCACATATGTATAGCTACCGTATAGAGAACCTGTGAATAAACCGTTATTATTATTATTATTGTTATTGTTATTATTATTATTATTATTATTATTATTATTATTATTATCATTATTATTTGTAATTACTGCTCAGCACGTGTGTTCCACCTCGCCATTTCACTCCACGTGGATATGGAAACGCTAACTGTGCGATTTTTTAGACACAAAAAACCAAGGGGACGAATCAAAGTTGATTTTTAATAGATTTTGCATAATATGCATGCCTGGATCCTGGCAACGTCTTTAACAAGTACAATATGGAACTTCTTTTGGTTTGCCGGCTGATATATCCTTGCTGTATTTTGCAGTAACACAAGTTAAGCTTTTTAAAATAAAGCTATTTTTTAGGATTTTTGTTCTGACTTTCTAATAGGTCGGTTGGCTCTGCAGGCTTACCATTTCTGGTCAGATATTCTTTTTCTATGGTATCTATTAATGTAAAGGACAAAAAACCTGAATTTATGTCTGATTTCGTTAAAACGTGGCCACTGGGTTTTCGCCTGGCGGCGGGCGAAGCCCGACTCCAGGCCAGCCCGGTGCCCAAAAATGTAGGGGGCTTCCCGTCTTGGTCAGTACAGCTGGATAGCCCTGGGACTGCCCTAACAGTGGGTGGGTGGATCAGGCCTTGGGGTCAAAACTAGTGGGGTAGGGAGGGGGATGTTTTGACACATTCCCTTCAGTAAGCAGCAGTGTTCAGTGGAGGCTTTGACTGGCGAGTACCTTGGTCTTAATTTTCCCTAGCCAGCTGAATCAGGCGTCTGCTGAGAATGGTTATCATGATAATTGCAGAGCTCAGTGGGAGGTGCAGACAGTCACCCATTGTCCTGGGTGGGGAGGGTAAAAGTCTTGGTACCAAGGACGCTCTTAGCATAGGACCTTTAGACACTCACTGAAGCCATGTTTTCATAAATCCAGTGAGATATGCATTTTGAGAGTTAAGTTCAAACCGGCCAGAATGTGTGCATATACATTTTGTGAAGGCTCCAATCGCCGGCCTTTATACATTTCAAAGTTCAGTTTTTCGCGGTTCTCAATACGGAACCACTCCATTATGCCTACTAGGTTGATGAAGGAAACTATCAAAGAAAGACTATCGTCAACTCGTGGGTACGTTGTTTAGAAAATAATCAATTAGTTATCACCTCTGGTTTTCCCCCAGTGAATTTTAGGAAATGATAGAAATTCATATTATAAATATACTATCCTTGTTCTGGAAACACAATACTTTTCTTGCTGTTTATTGCACTTTAGTAACAGTTATTTAAGTATATATTTAAAAACAAAACAAAACAAAAAACAGCAAAACAAATAAGCAAACAAGACAAAACAAAAAAGAAAAAAAAAGGAAGAAGGGAAAAAGAAGGTCTTCAGCAGGATTTAAACCCGGTACCTTCGGCTTGACCCGACCTCACATAGCCACTACGCCATTGAGGATGGTTACATGATTTGGCGAAAAGTCTCAAATTTAATGCCTTTTCGATGGAACTTCCGCCGGCAAACGACCGGGGCAAACGATCGAGCCATAAAAACGACTCGAAGCAATGGGATGAAATTAAGGCTAATTGAAACCAGGCTACTGACAGTAAAAAACAATGTAAACGCATTTAATATGCGATACAAAGCCGACACAACTCCTCCGCGAAGTAGGACGCAAAACATTAGCTTATGTTTTCTTATCTCGATTTCCGCTGTTATTTTAAAAAGGTAATGCTCAAACTCACATCCATTTCCCCCCGTGATCTTGGGGAGTCCTTAAGAAGAAGAAGAAGAAGAAGAAGTGCCTTTATTTACCATACATTTCACCAGTCCGTACTTTATAGTCCGTATTTTAAACCCAGTCCGCAGTCCGTAGTCCGCAGTCCCTGTTTTATACTGACCGCCATAAATTCATTCATACACATAACCTACTACAGTACTACAAGGTAGGAGATCAAGCCAGCGTCGAAGTTGAAGGAGTCGAAGAGCAAATGCTCATCTTCTTGTCAAGTTTAACGCCTGGACGGGTCAAAGGCTTTTGAATCGTACTAATCTGAAAGATTCCTGCCTGTCTTAAATTTGGTAAGACCTCTATCCTAACCGCGCTGTAGCGCACGATGCACGCTCGCAGCGAGGAATTTGATGCTACCGAACTTCGGCGAGCGTGTGCTTCTTTGGAAACGATAGATCTTCGCGCTCTCGAGTTCGGACCCGATTAATTACGAAGTGCGTCTACTACGAGTGAGTGAGTGACTCATTTGCATATCTCAGTCCCTGCAATAACTCGTGGTACGCTCGCGCGTACCCACGGGTTAAAAATGGCCATTTCACGAAAAAAAAAATCTGTGATATGGGTTGAAGTCAGTCAACTATTTTTCACCATGAACACCAAAAAACTAAGAGGAAAACTTAACCGAGTAGAATGACCAGGGTCCAAGGTGATATAGTCACGGTCATAAACTGGTCACAATCCGTGATGAATTTACCACACACAATCTTGTTTTCAAACACTTACTGAACAATTTTCTGGAAGGAAGAAAGAATCATGGTTTATAGTCACACTGCGCGAAAATATTAACAACACCCTGAAAAGTCAGTATGTAATTCCATTGAAAAAAGAAACAAATCCCGGTCCACCTGGGAAAAAATAGCAGTTTCAAAGACAAAAAAAATGAAGAGGCCTTTACGTTAACGTTTAAGTTTATCCAAATAATCCACAAAAGCATAGCCATCACGTGGCCAAAAGAAACAAAAATAATAATAATAATAATGCAAAAAAGACAAGAACGTGATAAATAAATTGATAAATCAATTCATATAAAAAGTTTTCCAGGCCACAGGCTGTTCCAAAAGTTTATCTCGGCGGGAAAGAAACTCCCCTTGTACTCGTTACTGCCACAGTTCACGCAATGTATCTGGCAGGATGGTACATATATTACTGACGGGTTCTGCTGTAATGTGGTGGCTGGACATATGATGGCATCGGGAGAGCCACCATACCCCTTGATATCTTGAAGAACAGCATCAGCCCTCCTCTTTCTCGTCTCATCTGTAAAGGCTCTCGGTTGAGTTCCTGGATCAAACGAGTCACTGTCCCTGGTTACCTTTCCCAGCAGTTCTTGCAGAAGTGGGCCGCCTTGCACTGTACAGCCTCTGTACTATTGATCTGGTGCTTTTGATGTGGCGACCATACAGAACTGGCGTGCTCCAAATGTGGACGGACCAGAGTGCTGTATGCTTGGACTTTCACTCGCTCTGAACACCGCCTTAGATTTCTCTTGACAAAGCCCAATGATCTATTAGCCTTGACTATTACGTTCTCAACATGCTTGTTTCAGATGAGACTGATTGTTAACTCCACACCGATCGGTGTGGAGTTAACAAAAGTCATCCGTACCTCGCGAGGTACGGATGACTTTCCATTGCTTCAAGTGTCTTCTTGCTGTTGATTTCGTATTGGATGCTGAATTGGGTTCTATTTCCTAGTCTGACTGTCAATACCTTACACTTATCGGGGTTAAACGACAGTCTGCCACTTGGCTGCCCACTGTGACAGTTTGTCCTGAAGTCGTTTTGTCGCTGAGTAACATCATTTGGTGTTTCAATTGCCAAATAGAGAAGGCTGTCATGCGCAATTAACCTTTAAATTATCTACCATCTCAGATGTCACTGATGTAGGTTAAGAACATCAGAGGGCCCGGAACGGTCCCTTACGGGACAGTTAGCCAAGCAGCAATGCAGTCATAAACTTGACCTTTAACCCCATACTTCTCTAGTTTCTTTAACAAACTCCTGTGTTGCACCGTGCCAAAGGCCTTGGAAAAATCCAGGACCAGTAGATCGACTTGTGCTTGATTATCTAGCGCTCTAGCTATGTCCTCTATTATGATGATAAGCTGACTTTCACCTGATATACCCCTTTAGAACCGTGCTGAACGTCCTTCAGAATGTTATAGCCCTAGTGGCTCAGATGTCCAAAAACATGATGGTATGTAGCTCCATAACTTTACAGATCACACACGTAAGGGAGACAAGTCTGTATTTCGCTTAATCTTTCCCTTTCTCCCTTCTTGCACATCGGACAAACACTTCCCTCTAGCCAGTCTTCTGGTAGGTCTTGCTCAGTAAGTGACTGGTTAATTATGACTGTCAAGTATGGGGCAATCTGGGGTGCACACTCCTTTAGGGCTCGTGATGGTATCTTGTCTGGGCCATTATCTTTCAAAAGATTAACCCTCACCAGGTCTTCAATGCCTTTGGTAGTTATGGTGAGTTTCGTCGTTCTGGGGTAGTTAAAGTCTTGTCGGACATCTTTGGGTTATGAAAACTCCCTCATATTGCTTACTAAGAATTTCAGCCTTTTCCCTTCCGTTTGACACGTTTTCGTTCCTGGTCTTGTCTTTCAGCGTCGCTATGCTGATATTTTCTCTTTTCAGTGATTGATATACAGACGAATAAACACTACCATGCACCCACCATCATGACAAAAAAAAAGCCCACTGAATTTTATTATGGCT